TAAATTATAACTCATAACTCAATGACTCATACAACATAAATTATTTATTCCAAATCACAGATTCACAAATCACATAAGTAAAAAATAATACCAATTCCAAAGCCAATATATATAACAGTAAAAGAATAATGAAGGAGACTCGTTGCCTCACTGTCCAATGACTCCAGTCACCAGAAGGTCCCTATGTTGACTCCGTTTCCGTTTTTGGCTTTCTATTGAGGTGATCCGGTGCCTGTCAGTAACGGATCTTGGCTTTCTGCTCACAGCCTACAGGAGTTCAGAGTCTAGAGTTCCAGCTGAGCTCACTGCGGTGCGGTCCGTCTGCGACTGCGTGTGCGTTGCGTTCTGTTTCTTCTCATCTTCATTCAATCGTCATGTTTCTTCTCATCTCGCGTTCTTGCAAATTAAATTTGGCGGACCCAATTTATATGGATCAGGTCCATCAAGAATGGTAAATTGGTAATGGATCCATTCAATTTGGATTGGGCCTGGTTATTTTAAAAAATGGCCACAGTTGGAAGCCTGGAATAAGCCCAAACTTGAAAAGAAGAAGAAAACTTAAACCAGATTCCAGTCGTCTTCTTCGATTCTTCCCTTTCTTCCACAGTCTGTCATTGTTTCGGTGGAACCTAGCACGAGCGGCTGCGCCGGGTGCTGGGTTCGCCACCGGGTGGGAAAAGATGTGGAATTTACAATTGAAAGTATGTTTTGTTGAAAAAGGCATTAGTATTATGTTCCATTCATGAGAAGCTTGTTGATTTCATGTAGGGAATTTAATTGAATTTGTGAAATGCATGTCAAATGATGATAATATATATAAGAGAATAAAAACTGAAGCTTCACCTATGAGATGTATTAGAAGGTTGGATTTATTCGGCGAATCAGGTTTTGACTATGAGTAGTAAATTTATGATGTCAAGGGTGTGTTTTTTATTGCTAATCTTTGACGAAGTGAACTTTTTATTGTGTTTACAACCTAAATTATGCTTGTGAATTGCTTTTTCTCTCAACATAATCAACTTTTCTTCAATTTAATTGTATAAAGAGCACATATTGCTTAACGGGGATTTAGTTTGAGCTTTTGTAGAAAAAACTGGTGTATGTATATTACCATAACAAGTTTAGATATAGTTGGTCAATGATAACATTTAAATCTCATGACATTTTATACAGATGCCATATTATCTTGGTGAATTAATGGAGAAAATTGCACAAGAAGACAGGATTCAAAGTCTTATGGCTTCACAGGCCAAGTTGAAGGTAATAGTTTTTCGCCACAAACATGTTTTAAGAAAGCTTGTATATGCGTCTTTCAAATTCTTATTGTTAGTGAAAGCAGTACTTACGAAACGTAGTGATGCCATGAATTCTTGGTTTTCCCTTGGTTCTACTATTAGGAATTTCTCTCATTTTGTGAGGCGATGGATCTTGTTCCCGAAGATGAGTTAACAGCATCTGCACAAGCTGGTGGTAATTCGTTTGCAGATCAAAGGGCTAAGAAGGTATAAAATTGTATTGTTATAAGTTCCAAGGATCCCATGTCTTACTTTATTTCATTAGGCTTCTTTAACCTTTCACATTCTGCCTTTTATTGCTGCATGAAGCCAAACTACTCTTTATTTACTAATAATGTCACCCTGTTCCAGATTGCTCGGTTCAAACGTCAAAAAGCTGCTGAGTCCAAATTGCTAGAAATAAAGGAGTGGAAGGAACGCCGTGGACGTTCAACTAGAGCCTCCGCATTATCAACTCCAGTCGAGGCAGGGGAAGAAGATCTGCTTGATGATGATGGAGAAGAAGAAAGAGAGGTCAGTTGTTTCACTTGGGAGTTCTTGTCCTGTGCCCCTGAGAAGTATTATATTCTGGCTCTTCTTTCAATGTGTTGTGACTCATTATTTTTATTTTTTATGGTATATGCTCCCCTAATTTACTCCCTAACTCTTGACTTTCAATCACAAGAAACAAATCTATGTGTTTTACATGATGGTAGAAGGGACAGTTTAAAAACAATTTCTTTTAACAATGGTTTTGAGCTTCTCTATTGAATGGTGGGGCTTCTTCTGCAGCTCAACTGGTTGCTTGTTTACTCGGGAAATGCTTGTTGATGTCCAAATTTACGGATGTCCGAGCACCACTTGGTTCCCCTTGTGAAATTGCATCCTTGTTATATATCAAGCTTATTTTGACAAACTTAGTATCTCAAGTAGACTAATATATATTGATGCAAGTGCTACATTGTGTGCTTAAAGGATTTAAGATGATAAATTTCATCCCTTTGTATGGTTGTTTACACCCTCGTTGTAGCTCTGAATTGTTGCTGAATCTTATTATTACTGTTTCTGTAGGCTTGGCTGGCTACAATATCCTTGGTGCTCTGTAAGGTTGGTCCAAATTTTCAGCATCTTCTGTGCCATCCCAGCTGCTGCTATTTTCTGTTTTTTATGTTCTTTGTAGTTATATAATTAAGTCTCTCGATAAACTGTATAAAGGCTTTTGATCTGTTGGAAATGCTGAAGAAAGAGGAAGAGATGCTTTCTGCTATAAAAGAAAAGCAGTCACAGGTATAGCACATTAATTTTTGGGTTAGTAACGTTTTGTCTCCAAACATGTTTGTTAACTTACTTTTTTGTTAGTTTTAAGTAAAGAAGTTACTCTTCTCGCAAGTAACTCTTTACCTCGCACTCAAAACAAGGAATTTACTTATTTTTAACTTCCACGATTAAAGAAATATTTATTTTAAACGTTACGTAAACTTTCTAAGCTTAGCCAAACATGCTGCTTAAGAGTTTTCTTTCAAATGTCATGCTAAATAATTAGTTAAGACATTGAGATGCACCTGGTGATATGCTATTTTCCACAGGAAGGGGACATTGAAATTTCAAAGCTTACTCTTGACGAGCGCACCAAGAAAGCCGAGACCTGGCATCGGAATGCTGCAACACGAGCTCGATATACAAAACCTGCACCTCCAATCACATGTGCTACTTTTGCTCAAGATGTTATAGAGGGGAGAGCTAATGTTTCGCAGGCTCACGAGCACAAGCACCAGACAATGATTTTTGGACAAACAATTCTTGTAGCCAAAAACCCAACAACCGAACGGCAAAGAATGGCTGCTCAGGTATTCCAGCCTCATTATAGGCTCACGAGCACAAGCACCAGCCCATGATTTTTGGACCAACAAGTCTTGTGGCCAAAAACCCAACAAGTGAACGGGAAAGAATTGCAGCTCAGGTTTTCCAGCCTCATTATAGGTATTTATAAATGGAATTAACGCAACTATTTGAAAATGATAATAAACTATCATTGGACAATCCCTTGTGGCGTGATTGGTTGGGTGGACTAAACGGCATTAGACATTAATAAAAAAGAGAAAAAAAGAAGTTCAAATCTTGTTTATTGTACTTTTGCAGTAATCCACCTTACTGAAAATGCAATTGGTGTTTAATTGCTGAAATTTTGTACTAATTTGCAGATTACCAACAATGAGCATAGAGGAAGCTGGATTGAAGGAGATGGAAATAATGAATAAATGGCAAGAGAGGAATATGCAGCTTATGGAAGAAGCCAACTCCTCATGGTATAAGGATAACCGGAAATCAAGGCCAGGTGAAGAGGAGGACGAGGAATACGAAGATGGTGCCCAAGAGAAGGCAAGAGCATGGGACGACTGGAAAGATGACAACCCTCGTGGGGCAGGTAACAAGAAGCTCACTCCATGTGGCTAATAGCACAGACGGATTGACCTACATCAAATCCCTTTTTTCTCTGAACTTGCTAGATTACTATCGTGAATTTTCCCATCCGTGTTTTATTATATCCTTGTACCAGTTTTGTTGCATGATTAAAAACCATTCCACTGTATAGTAGCAACAGCTGATGATTGTATGTTTTACTTTTGTCAAATCAGAATCCAAATTCAAACTCAGCTTTGATTATCATCTCTATGGATGTTATTGTCAGTAGTAATGCCATTAATGTAAAATGACAAAGTCAAGGGACGATGAATTCTGATACCATATCTAATTGTGGGGAAGGGGAAGGGAGCGTTCAGCTCCGTGTGTGTTGGCATATCTCGTGGCTTTGCTGTTGCATCTAACAACAAAGATATTTTGTTTGGCTTATAAGTTTGACCTGCTTATAATGAAGCATCTGTACACCCTAGTGGTCTCCTCTGCAATTTACGCATCCGACAGCACGTTAAGATTGGCTGTGTAATCATTTGGAGTGCGAGGACAGTGCAAAGGTTACTATAGCCTTCCCTCACCTTACATGGAACAAAAATTGATTTTCTAAAGATAGTTTCTGACGGTTAAGTGTTGGCTGTGATTCAGGCGTGGCTTTTGTGTGAAGTGGTGGGTAAGCTGGATTGGGATGGTAGAAGATGAAATTTTCATCTTTAGAAATTTTTTTTTTCAATATATATATATATAT